GAAGAACAGGAGAAGAAGATCAACATTAATAGAGATGAGAGGGGGGAGGGAAAGGGAGAGAGAAGGGAAATTGCATGGAAAGGGATGGTGATCCTCAGGGTTATACAAAATTACATACAAGAGGAAAAGAATAATACAAGTGGAAGAAGTGTTTTACAGTAAAGGGGGTTGAGAGAGGACTTTACATTTTTAACAGTTTTCCAGATGATCCCAAAGCTGATTGTACATGACCAATGTTGAAGGTTTTCATTATACATAATAAGTTACCTAAGTATCTTCAATGTACTGGCTATGTAGCATCCTTGGAAAAATACAAAAATAGGCCTTCATATCATTTGCAATACAACTTAATTCTCTTGGGAAACATTAGTTGAGAAAAGCTGCCAAGGGAATGGCAAAGTCAAAAGATGGATGGAACCTTGGTTTCTATAATAACACAGGCAGGAAAGCTGCTTGAATAGAGACACAAACACTGGACTGTCATTTAAACAAGAAAAACATTTCTACTGTGTTAAGTGACTGAATTTTTAGTTGGAACTAGCAAACCTTCCTAATATAGTAGTAATACACTTAAAAACTTCACCAGTGCACTGAGTATTAATAGCAGCGATTTTATATAGCTGTAAATTCCTAAGTTTATTTTGTAGAGTATACAAATAATTTTATTGACACTGGATGTCATTAAAATGAATAACAGAAACTGCATCTCTAGTCTGAAGTTTCAGAGTTGGAAGACCCAGAAATTACAAATTCTTTACAGAGGAGATGAGTAAATAGGAATGGTAATGAACCCAACCTAACTAGAATATTTTATACATGTTGTGGTTTAGTGCTAATGATTAATTTAGTGCCAGTCACTTCAGTAAAAACATTCATTCATTTATTTATTCTAGAAAATAAATGTTCAGCTGCTCCTCTGTGCCAGTCTTTGTGCCAGTTACTAAGTTTACAAATGAAGATGATCAATAAACATTCACAGTCTTGTGGAAAAAAATAGACATGTAAGAAAATTACAGTTGAGTTGTGGGGGAATAATAATGATTTCAACAAGATACACTGGGGAAACAGTTTAACTCAGCCTGGAGAGGTCAATAAATTGCCTAAAATTCTAACATATGAATTGGTTTTGAGAGATGACTAGGGTTTGTTAATAAAGGTGACTTATTTTTTTCAGAAAAGTAACTTTTGAGGATTAGGCAGAGAGAAGACATTCCTAAAAGAAGGAAGAACATTTTCAAAAGCACAGAGACAAGAGCCACTAAGTCTTTTCAAGAAAATGCAGTTTGTCCTGGTTATCTGGACCAGAGTTTTTAAGGAATGATATGTAACTGCTAGGCCAGATCCAATGACAATTTATTAAGGTCTTGTAATGTGAGGTTATCAGATTCTCTTCTAAAACCAGGTAGTAGATGGAGGTGTTTAGAGTAGAGAAGTGATGTGATAAGATTTGTGTTTTTTAGTGCGGAGTCTTTATCAGAAGGAAGCAGAGACATGAATTGGGAAACTAATGTGGAAATAGGAGTGAAAAGTGATCTGGATCTGACCAAAGAGTTTGACCATGTAGAGAAAGGTGAAGGAGTGTGTGTGTGTGTGTGTGTGTGTGTGTGTGTGTGTGTGTGTGTTTGACTTTGATCTGAGAAGTGCTGAAGAGAAACTTTCTAACAAGAAAGTTAAAAGGCTTTAAGTCTACTCTTTCAGTGTGTATCTTTCCAGTTAGACTATGTGCCTTTCATCTATCCCATGTTTGGTGTCCTCTTTATGCTGAATCCAGGGCTTCCTAATAATATTTGTTCAGTAAATATTTCTGAATTAAATCCAATTAAATAAAAATCGCTGCTTGAACAAAAGAAAAGAGAGTTAACTGAGTGTTCCTCTACAATGTGAATTACACGGCATGGGTGGATTCTTATAGAATACTTAAAGATCTCATGTAAATTTTCCAGTTGAATAATAATTTACTAGGCTTTTATAATTCCTAATCAGACTGTTTTCGAAAAATTAATCTCGTAAGCCATGAACTAGGTGATAGCTATGGGAAAAACAAGACTTATCTAAAGCACAAAGCTATAATTTCAGTGGCAATTGGTTATTGCTGGTAGAAACATGGTCATAAGTTAAAAAAATAAAAACCAACATAACCCTACTGATCATATTCTCATATCACTGTATGAAAAAGTTTACTAAGTTTACTAATGACACAAGGAAATACAAGAAATTTTGTTGGGGCATTGTAGGGAATGGAGATCAACACAGGTGTATGCCCAGAAAGTGGAAAACTTAATATGATGGATACTTACAACAGGTAAATTGTGTGCAACAGTTAAAATCAACAAACTAGTTGTATATAGAGCAATGTGGATGGATATTTAAAACTCAGTGATATGTTTTCAAAAAGCTAAGAAAAGGTTTATAGTACAATAATTTTATGAATTTAAAATATACTTATAAATGATATTGAATGTTTTAAAGACAAAGCAGGAAAGAATATGGTAATAGATATATTGTCACATTTCAGCACTTCTGTGTATTGGTTATCAAACACAGCAATTAAACATTAAATTTTATAATTCTAAAATTAAATAAACTATTTTTTTTTAAAAGCAAGGTTTTTTTTTTTTTTTTTTTAAAGAGAGAGTGAGAGAGAGGGGGGG